TAATTTTAATAAACATAACTAAATAATTTTAACTAAAATAAACAAATTTGAATATAAATTATTTAAAAGAAAATTATTTACACATACACATAATAAAATTTAAAACTTTTGCACAGCCAAAACTCCAAATTTAAGTATGTTCATGCTTATGTTAAATGAAAATATTTTGCAAATAACAAGGCAATTGGAGCCTGGAAACAAAAAATACCTAAACTTCCCCTCCATCCCTTAAATATTTTTAAGGACCTGTTTATTTTGTTTAGCTATAAGTATTTTAAATTTAGATTAGTTTAGGTAAAGTTTCAATAAAGCATCTCTAATTTTAAATTTAAATTCTAAAATTCTAATTTTAACCAAAACTACACAAATTTAAACCAAACCGTCTTCCCAATGAAAAAAAAGTCTTAAGAGTGCCAATGCTACAAAGTTAAGTTTCTCTAAAACTGCATATAAAAATTGAAACTTTGAACATATATACTTTACTATATAAACTTTTTGAAAATAGTAATAGCTTTGTGCGGGTATTAAGAAAAGAGTTTTTGCTGCCCTTTTGTATGTAAACATCCCACTGTGGTGCGCTGTGTTTGGTTATGAATCCTTATTTCTTAGATTGATATCTGCATTTGTCTTTTTACATATTAGTACTTGTTTTACATAAAGTAGATATTATGGTCATAGCAAATGTGGTAGCATAGTAGAGATGACCACTTTTAATGCAAACAATCGCCCCACCCATAATGGTCCATAAACTTGATCAGGATCAACACAGAAGGTAAATATAAGAGCAATGTTTTGAATTATCTGGTTTTATTGCAATATTTAGTTAGTCTTGTTGCAGTGTTTAAGTTTTTATAGTATTTATAATAGTATTCTAAGTTTGTTTTATTTAAGCCTATTTGTCTAATTATAAAACACCAGAAGGTGTTTGATAATTTTGCAACCTCAATATTTATTGCACAACTTGATCATACTAAGATTTTGACTGTAATTGTTATGTCATCTCACTCACATAGAAAATCACTCATCACTCACATAGAAAAAGTTATCTCTTTTCCTTTACCTCATCACTCACATAGAAAAAGTTATCTCTTTGGATTTTATCAGCATTATTTCTTTCATCATTTATTTTATGTTGGTAACTTGTATGACAAACTTTTTTGACGGCTTTTAGAGCTTAAACCTTTACAAAACTTTCAATCAGCCTTTACACCGATGAATTCGCAATTTGGTTAAAACTAACTCCAAGATCTAATGCTAGCTTGGTAACAAATTTTTAAGTCAATGTAGATTTAACTTTCAAAAACAGTAGTTTTGCCATTTTGAACAAGTTTCTCTCACAATTTTTCACAAATTTCAAAACTTGAATGTTCAAATTTAGGTTGAATGAAAGTTCAAACTTGAGTTGAATGTAAAATTTAAGTAATAATTTAAGTTGCAATTACTATGCCGAACGTCGTAAATTAAATTATTTATACTACTTAGTTTATCACAGTACATAAATTGTTATTATTTAAACACTTTTTTATGCGACAAATCGCATCTCTGATATATATATATATATATCAGGCTTGGACAGGAATGGCGTATGATCGAGTGCTATTGCTGACCATGCAAATGATTTTATTTTTTGACAACTTGACCAAGATTGTTTAATAAACAATGTTTATATGTTTTGATGAGTTAAAAATTTCAGAAATGTTCTGAATGTCTTTCTAAAACGCTAAGCTAAACTTAAACAAGGAAAAAAATTAAAAAAAAAACTAACTTGAGAATTACAACTTTATTAATAAGCGCTTTGCGTAAGGAATTTAAAAATCATTATAAAAGATTTAACCTCATTCATTTCTAAGGAAATTGAAAAAAAAAAAAAAAAAAAAAAAAAAAAAAAAAAATTGATTACAAAAAATAAAATGTTGATTAAAAACATTTTAAAAAATCGTAAACTTAATCATAAAAATTAATCGTATGAACATTACAAAATGCTTTAAAACTTTTTTATTAAATCAACAAAATACATGCTTATATAAGTAAATAAAAGTTAGTAGTCACATAGGCATTTGAACTTATTCACAAATTAAAGTAACTCAAAAAAATTATTTCTAAAAAATATGATTTAAAAATGTTTTAGGAAGACATAAGAAAATAGTTTCAAACGTTTAAATTTATCATAAAAAATAAATGCCTACATAAAAAAAAAACTTAACATTTTTTATTAATTTATACAAGCGTTTATGTGAACAATTACTATAATTAATTATATGGTTTTATTTAAAGCTTTTGCGTAAAATAAAAAAACTTTAGAAAAGATCAACGATTAAAAGATATTTATAACTTAACACTTTTTTTATTGCATTCAAATTGTTAAAACATCAAAATAGCCGTGGTCAAGTTGTAAAGAAATAAAAATATTAGCGTGGTCAGTTACAGAGTGTGATCGCACGCCATTCCTGTCCAAGCCTGATATATATATATATATATATATATATATATATATATATATATATATATATATATATATATTATATATATATATATACATATATATATATATATATATATATATATATATATATATATATATATATATATATATATATATATATATATATATATATATATATATATATATATATATATATATATATATATATAGGCACGGTTGCAAAATTTTTTTTTTACGTCTAAAGAATTTTTTCACAGCACAAAAAATGACAATTGTAAGTTATTGTAACATTAACATTACAAACATTTGCTTGTAACAAGTATACAACCTAATTTTGTATTTAATAAGCTATTTTTATATAAATAAACTGATAGATTGTGCAAAAACCAAAAGCTCTCGTAAAAAGCAGTTTAGAGGAGCAGCTCGCACGGCTTGCCATATTTGTTTTAGAAGAGTTTTTCTCTGCTTTCGCCCTCATTTAATCCCGCCAAGGCCTATATATCTATATCTATATCTATATCTATATTTATATATATATATCTATATATATATATATATATATATATATCTACTTTTTTTCTTCTAAAAAGTCTGATTCACTCCTCACAAAGTCGCAAGCAACCACTATTAAGTTAGGAGTTACTAGAAAATAGGAATAGAGTTATAGAGCAGGAAAAGGTTGACAGAAATAGAGTTATAGAGAAGGAAACGATTATATGGTTATAGAGCAGGAAACGGTTGACAGGAATAGAGTTAAAGAGAAGGAAACGGTTGACAGAAGATTTTTAAAGTTTTAGGGTGTATGAGTCAAGAAAACATAAACATGGAAGAAAGTTTCAAAGGGTTGAAATGTGGGAAAAAAACTAGACAAATATAAGTTTTTAGAGCATGCACAGATAGATACAGTAAAAGATTGAGACTTTGTTGAATGACGAGTCTAGCGAGAATGAGTTTTAGTAAATGGAACTAAAGATGATAGCTCCTTGAGCAGCAACCATGATAGTCTTTGTAAAAAAAAAAAAAAAGATGCAACTTTACAACAATGGGAAAAAGGCTCAAGTTTAGCAGATAGGCTAACAACGTTTACAATGCATTTTTGGACCTTGTCTAAGAATATGTTGTAGAAGAGAAAAAGCATTATTAGAAAAACAAGCCCAAATATGACAACAGTATTCCATAGAGAAACAAATAAGAGATAAGTAAAGGTAGAGAATGGAATCAAGAGTAAGAAAGCAGGATAAACAGAAGCCATTTTAGCAGATGCTAATTTTTTATTTTTTTAGATTTAGCAATCAATTTTATATATGGTTTCCATAAATAGTCATTAGTAAATGATTATCCAAGAAAACGTAAAGAAGAGGTTGCCATTCATTAATATAAGAATGTCAATAGTACTGTGATAGTTCTTTGCAGTAAATAACTGAGTTTTATTGGAGTTAAATTAACAAGCCAAATTGAGCCCCAATCTGAGATCAGATTCAAGATCAAAATCCCAAAGTGAGATCAGATTCAAGATCAGCTGCCTGTTCTAATCGATTGAAAAGAGAAGACTTTTTGTCAAGACAGGAGGATAAAATTGAGTCATCAGCAAAAAGAGCTGCTTTAGATGTAAGGATGACAAAAAGATCATTAATGTAGATAAGAAACAGAATAGGACCAAGGATAGAACCTTGAGGTACTCCTGATGTTACTGGAAATAAAGAAGAGTGTTGGCCTTTGAGGATAACTTTAATAAAGTGGTTAGAAAGAAACAATTTGATAGTCTCAAAAACTTTCCCAGATACGCCATTTCAAACAAACTTATGGAGAAGACCAATATGTCAAATCTGGTCGAAAGCTTTGTGTCAATAGCAATAGGCCTAGCCTCTCCGCCTCCATCTAATGCAAAACAAAATTTTTTAGTCACAGCAGTTAGCAAGTCAGCCGTAGAGCGAGAGGATAAAAAACCTTATTGATTGTCTGACAGTAAGTGATTGGACTCAAGATTAAATGCAAGAAATTAATTTATTTAAGACTCAAAGACCTTGCAAATAACAAAAAGAAGACTGATCGGACATAAATTGGAGGAGGTCACAATGTTCACCAGAGTTTTTGAAAATTTGAACAACAGATGCCATTTTCCAACAAGCAGGAAAACAAGACCCAGTCAAGCACTTATTAAATAGTTTAAAGAGAATTGAAAAGAGTTCTGGAAAACAATTTTGTAAGACTATACCAGGAATGTTGTCCAGACCACATTTTGTAAAAGAGTTAAATCAAGATATGATTTTAGCAATAGAAGCTAGAGTGATTTGAATGTCTAACAATAGGTTTATCTGTTTATTTGGAATGGAAGGAAAAGTATGTCCATAAGATTCAGTAATCTCGATTTTTATTACTTTATATTTTTAACATTTATCTTCTCATTATTTCGAGATTTTGAAGTTGAAAATTGACTGAGATTTCTGAGACAAGGAAGATCTGAAAGTGATAATAATAAAGCTGATAATGATGATAACAAGTAAAGACTACTACCTAGTTTATATTAAATTTACTTTTAATGTAAAACACATCTTACCATCTTTTACTGCATTTCCAAGAACACCATTTTCAACCCTTGCCATCTCTAAAAGAGTTTTAGCATAATAAAGGTAGGGTTCTGCACACTCATCGCCTGTTTGTCCATATATATCAGCACTAAAAGAAAAATTAATTAAGTTTAAAGGGCTGAAAAAAATTAGTATCACAAATGAACTTCTTTTTAAAAAAAACTAAACTAATCTCTTACAAGCCTACACTACAGCAATCCCCTATGTCAAGAAGAAATTCATCAAAAGAAAATAAGCTTCTACTTTATTGGAATTATATCTATCATACATAGGGAGTAAAAAACATTTTTTAAATGTAAACTAAATCTAAACCCTATTTTTTAAAATAAAAATAATTTTAAAATTGTTGATCAATTTATTTCAGTAGTTTCTTTTAAAAAAAAAATTTATCATCGATAAGTGGGTTGTCAAGCCCAAGTGAAATAATAACAAAAAATTAGGAGGAGAGATTTTTTAGGATTTATTCTCAAAATAAATACTAATTTTTAGAATAAATCCTAAAAATTAGGATTTATTTGATCCTAATAAAAAATTATTAGGATCAAATAAATCACATGCAATAGAAATAATAAATAGAAATGATGTTTTGGAGAGCCTAATAAAACTGCCAGCATCGCTTGTCAGAGATACATCCTTTCTATCTTTCACCTTATCACATGTAGCCTACATCATATCAGTAATTACTACAGAAAGCCAATCACCCTAATCCCTCTAAAGAAGTGGACCTCTTTACAGAGGTGGACCTCACTACAGCTCTCCAAAATTTAGGCAAGACCAATAATTTTTAGAAAAAAAATGTGAATATAGAGAAAAACATGTATAAAGAGTATACCCAATTATTATAACAAATACAAACAATATATAGTACTAACATATGCACTTGGGTTATGAAAAAAATATTTTTTTTGGCTGCAGTAGGAATAAATGAACATTTTATTATCGATTGAGAAAATCACATTTATTTTGTTCAATTCATTAAAAAGTTCTAGCACCAAGACAACTGACAACATGGTGGGTGCCATATATTATAAAAAAATTTTCTCTCCAAAAGTATATCAAGTTGGGTCTCAATACTTTGGGAGAAAAATATTTTTGTTAAAATATTATATGTCATCGGGTATCCTGATGCAAGAAATTTTTATTAGAGCTAGCTCTGATAATAATTTATAAATAATCAGGTCACAAAAGTTTATCATTTGTGACCACAGGAGAACAAAATTTTCCAAAAATATTTTTAATCATAACCCTAATATAAACATCTAAAGACCATAAAATAAAATATTCACTATATAATAAAGAAAATGAAAAGAAAGGTTGTTAGCTTAAAAACCACATTGAAACAAATCAGTCTTTTCTACCATATATAACTTCTGTTAATGCATTAAAATGTGGTAGACAAGTGATAGAAACCAAGAGATTTTTTATCACTAACTCGGTTGCCTCACAACCAAAAAGGTCCAAGGTTTAAATCCAAAAATTTTTTAAACTGTATTTACATTATTATATTAACACTTTATAGTTTAATATTCAAAAATTCAGAACTCTGGCATATATGCATCATTGGTAAGGAACAAGACATGAACTTTCTGGTTAAATGCTATTCCAGGGTGCACTGTGATAAAACTGTGAGAACTTATTGGAGCACCTAAATAACTAATAATAATTTTAAAAATTCAGTGAATTCATAAACATTTAAACTTCAGTAAAACTAGAACTTAATTTTAGAAACAAATGTTGTGAAAAAAAAAAAAAACTATTGTTCTTTGTAACTTTTTGAAATTCTAACATTATTTAAAGAGAATAAGTGTAGATTGATAGAACTAGAGATAACTATTGAACATCGACCATGGTAGAAAATGGACAATTTATAGAAAATAGAAAGAAATGAAACTTTCGCACAATGTGATAGAGGCTCAAGTTTGACAGATAGAGCAGGTCCAACAATGTTTACAATTTATTTTTTGTCTTGTTAGCCTAAATATGACAACAAAATTCCATACAGGAATACTGTTATTATATTTAAGCAAACAAGAGATTTGGAGAGGTAGAGAATGGAATCAGGAGTAATTTAAAGAAAATGGCAAGCACAATAAAGAAAAGCAGACTTTGCAGTTTCCAAAAAAGGTCAATAGGAGTCAAAATTCACAAGCCACTACAAGCCCCAATCTATTACAGAAGTGAGATCAGATTTAAGATTCAAGAAAACAATTTTGTAAGACTATGACAAGAAAATTGTCTCAGGTTTGGACAGAAATAGATTGCGATTGCAATCTGACCATGGTTATAATATTCTTTTTTCTCAATTTGACCAAGAATGCTTTTGTTTTAACAATTTAATTGCAATAAAAAAACTGTACGCTATGAATAACTTTTAATCGTTGATCTTTTCTAAAGTTTTTATTTTATGCAAAGGCTTTGAATTAAATAAAAAAAATTAATTATAATGATCATTTAAAATAAAAGCATTTTGTATAAATTAAACATATTTAATTTTTTTTTTAGTAGGCATGTATTTTTTATAATAAATATAAACGCTTGAAACTATTTTTCCATATCTTTCTAAAAATCTTTTAAATAATTATTTTTTTAAGTTACTTTAAGTTATAAATAAGTTAAATCAAATCTTTCCATTGCAATGGAATGTTATAACTGATTTTTTTTGTTTCATTTTAGCACAGAAGATTTTCAAAAACTTTTTTATTTAAACTTGACTTACTAATCAGAACATAAAATGATTAAAAATTACTATTTTAAAAAGACTGTTACTTTTAAAATAACTTTTTTTCTTCACAATAACTTTACTTTTCGATAATTTTAAATCAAGTTTGTTTATATATTTAACAATCATTAGAAGTAATTTGTACTCTTGAGTACTTAATACAAGGATAGTGACTTTAATAACTTTTAGAAAATTTTCCCAACCAATCCTAAGCTTATTAAGACCCCACCCACCCTAAGCTTATAAAGACCCCCCTTCATTTATTAATTTTTACGTGGTCAAGTTGTCAAAAACAACAAAAAAATTATTTGCATGGTCAGCAATAGCATTCAATTGCACATCATTTCTGTCCAAGCCTGTTGTCTGATGAATTTTGCAAGAGATAAGATTCAACTGATGAAAGGTTGCTTTGCAGACCAGGAATCTTTGTAAAAAATAAAAAAATGTTAGGTGATGGGGATGGTTTTTTATGTTTAATATTTAGGATTAGATTCGGCATGATTTAAGTTTAAAGAGAGCTTGACTCATTCATAGATAGAGCATGGCCTCCTAAGCAATAAGCTATGGAGTCGTCCTGTTAATTAACCTAAAGTCGCAACTTATGGCAAATCATGTGGCCTCAACAAAGTGCACAAATAGCATTAACAGGAACACTAACCATGCCCAACATGGTCGTCTATACTAGCAAAAATCTATAAGTAGTCTATAGAGTCAAGAAGATCCAACTTTCATTATCCTAGACAGAAAACAATGTAACACAGGATTACATCTATGCCACCCTAATAGATAAAAGAGGGGTTCAAGGCTGGTAAACAGAATTATTCTGCTTACCCCTAAAGTCTTTGCCTAGAAGGCCTTCTACAAGACAGTAGTTGGATGCAGTTCACATCAGCCCAAGATGAGCCTCTACTCAATCAAGAGCCTAAAGGCAGGCAAGTTTTCGCTAGATGCAGTTAACAACTGCACAAGATAAGTATTTTTATTGAGACATTATATTTTACTTTTACTCAATCAAGAGCCCCAAGGCAGGGAGTTTTTAGGTCTTTTTTTTTAAATATCTTTTTCAAAAAAAATTTAAATTGAAATTTAAAAGGAAATGCATTAGAAAAAACATTATATCTAACAGTTATGGTGAGTTCAGGTTTTATAGTTGGAGCCACTAGTTAGTCACATTAGCTAAAGTATTTGACTACAGGTGCTATGTTAACTAAAGATACCTTCAAATTTCAAATCTCAAATTTAACCAAAATAATTAAAGGCAATAGTATTCAATGGGGGTATGACTGAAAAGCACATTTTATTTTTTTGGAAATGGCATAGCTGCAAAAAATTAACTTTTACTTGTATTAATTTAAAATAATACTTTTTCTAAATCGAAAAAAAACTTCCCCACCAGCGCAGATGAAAATCTAAAAATGTAAAAAATTCAAGATTTTGAATTTATAGTAGGGGAAGAGGCACTTAACAAAATTTCGAAAATATCATGAGAGTTATTTTTGTAGCTTGATCTACTTTTAGATTATGTTTTGTTTTTTGGTAAGAATGATGGAAAGAGTTGATCTAATATTTAAGAGTGTATATAGTGTATATTTGAGAGGTTGGGAGGTTTTTAATTATTTTTTTTTATTTTTGTATATTTGAGAGGAGGTATTTTTGAAAGGTTGGGTGCTTTTTAATTATTTTTTTTATGTACTTTAAATATAAAACATTTTTATAATTGTACATTTTTTATTTAAAGAAAGATTATTTTATGGTTTTTATCCAAGATTTTTAATCAGTTGTTTTGAATTTTAAACAATGATAAGCTACAACTATTAAGTTTGCTTTTCAGTCTACTTTTGTTTCTAAAAGTTTAAATGGGTTGTTGAGAGTAGAAGTAGTGGGGAGGAGTCAAAAAAGAATTTTGTGAATTTTTTTTGTAAATAAATAAAATGTCAACAAGCAATTGTTAAAACAAAATTTCTCATTCTAAAGTTTTTCATGTTGGAAAAACCATTAAAATTATATAACACATTGTCCATAAAACATAACCAATAAAACTTGCTTATTAAGAAACTGTATTACAGAGGTTATCCAAATGTTTGGAAAATTAACTCTATGTTAATTTTCCAAACATTTCTACAATTAATGTAGCTTCATGTCTATTTTTTTACAGCCTAATGTATTGAAATAGGAGGTTATCTCATGGTAAAAAAATATACCATGCGCCCTTTATTAGGTGAAAAAATTACTGACTAACCTATTAGATGTTTACTATAGTAAAATGATTATTAATTTACAATTTAGTCCAAATTTAATTTGACTTCATAATATAGTAACAATATAGTATGTTTTTATCATAAAAACATCAATATATAAATGTTTTTATT